TTCACTTGCACATTTTATGATTGACTTCAGGAGGAAGGAGTTCTGGTTCAATGTATGGATGCCTGTTTTGGACTAAACAGGAAAAAAACCCAAGGGCAGCAACTGACTGACCCAAATCATACCAATGTTTATTTTGCTGATCAAGATGATGTGGATAATTTTGTTGCACAATACCATGAAGATTGTCAAAATACTGAGCCGGTATAGTAAATTGTTAATCTGACAGATTAACAGGTTCATACAACATATATTCATATATTTTAGTGAAACAACAAAGTTAATATTTGATGAATAGATTATATTTTATGTTTTGTCATTGAGGTAGTTTCAGTTCAATAATCTAATGTATGTTTAACTCTGGTTTAAGGAATGTAGCAGGTTTCATGCCGGGGAAGTGTTGCCAGCATTGCGTTCCAAAGGAAAGAACAAATTGTTTGATGAAAAAGGAGTTTTTGGATCTGTTTGTCGCCATGACTTCCCACTATCTTTTCATAATATCAAACATGGTGAAAGGTATTATGACTTATTAATGAAATTATATTTAAAAATAAAATAAAACTTTTATCATATGCAGCTTAATAACTAGGTGTAATGTGATGTTTAAATTGTACTATAATATATTTACATATATAATCAATTTACACCATAAACACAAAAATTCTGCTCCCAAATGTATATGCTGGACATATACACCAATGAAAACACAAAAAAGCTGCTCCCTAATGTGTATATTGGACATATATATTATATCTTTTGTTAAAGCCTTTGTTTTAATGTCCCACGGGAGAAAATGGATATATCCCTTACAAAAAGGTTTACCATGTATATTATTAGGGAGCAGAAGTTTTGTGTTTTATTGTATATATGCAGTAAAATATGTACAAGTTAGTACAGGATTATGTGTTTAAAAGTATAACATCTATGCTATCAACGGATTTGGAGCTCACATTTATCTTATTCTAAATGATACACTGTATTCTATTTTTTATAGAATTTCCTACTCAGTGTATGAGCTCAAGCAGACTTGCCAGCTTCTAAACAAAAAACCACTTATCAAGGTTGTCATCATGTATGATATTGCTTGTATTTTGTCAACGCATTTGAAGGTAAAAAAGTGTTCTTACAATTATTTTTTTCATGGATATAATGAATGCAGCCCTATATCTATCAAATAATAGAATATTGTTTTAAGGTACATCAGTAATATTGATGAGTAATTTTTATTTTGTATTCTTATATGTTAAGAAAAATGCAATAAAGTTTCCCAACGAGTGGCCATTACTGGAAAAATTCACCTTTGCAATTCCTATATTCCATTGTTATGGACATAAAGCATCATGCCAGGTACATACTTCATGTAAGTATAATCATACATCTACTTGTATCTTTAATGTCACTTCTCTTTTAAACACTTAAAAGTCTGCTACAGTGTACAAATGCAACATTCCTTTCAGCTACACTATTAAACTATGTTTGATTTGGGTTAGATAGTCCAATTATGAGCTGATGACTGTTTTTTTATATAGATCCAGTATTCTCCCAGAAGGACAGAAGGCGTTGGACTTACTGATGGTGAGGGGACAGAGAGGCTATGGTCATTTTTAAGGGACTTCTCKAGGATAACTAAAGAGATGTCTCCTGAAAAAAGAATCGATACCCTGACTGATGGTCTCCTCCATTATGGCTGTCTTCTTAGGAAGAAATATGGTAAGTTTATCACTAATTACAGTTGAATTATTGAATGTAAAATGAAAAGGTTATGCAAATTGCAAACTGCATGCTTGCATAGACTGGTTCTATCTTTCTGCAACTATAGACATCCACAATGTAAAATCTAGCTAAGTTCCAGCTGACTACATTGTTCAATATTTTATAATTTGAGTATCACCATTGCATCATTCAAAAATAATTGATAATATCAGTATTTTAGGGTGTTTTCAATATTGTGCCAATTCCACCATTCTAGCATAGCCTGTGTACATCCATTCCCATCCCTCTGATCGGTGGAAACAATTGACAACAGACTATTCTCACTTTGTAGTACTAGAATATGAAATACAGTAGGACATTCATTTTCATGTTTTATATTAATTTTAGGTCCAGCTTTAAATCACAAACTTCTAAGAGCAATGGATTTACATCAGATATTATCAGATGACCTTGATAAAGCTATGAAATCTTTTCCAAGTAAGAGTCAAGGATTGTAAACAACTGTTTACAACAACTTTATTWGAAATCATAAGAAATAGGGAAATGGGTTAACATTGCACATGTAAATGTACTTTGGTTGTTTTTTTCTAATACTAGTTGTTTTATCATTTTATAGTAAAGTGTGATGAAACTGTCATTGAAGAGTGGATTTCTTCAGAGAAAGTACAGGACAACTCAAAAAGTAACTAAGCATAATAAAACTTCAACAAGATTTTTATTCTGTTTTGTCAAGAGACAACAATGTCTATCAGAAAACTCAATGTGGATTAAATTTTGTACAGTGTAAATTTATGACAATGTGTAATATTTTAATCTAAGCCTAATTTATTCTTTATTATTGTTTACTCCATTCTACGTAGAATTTGAGCTTCTTTGGGATGAAAAATATGTTGACTTGCTGTCACAGAATGTGTCATTGAGGTATTGGCTATTCACTGACTCCCATGCATGATGTATGTTTAAAAGATGCAAAGAAAATTGCACCACACTATGTGACAACCTACATATAGTGCATATAGTGTTTAATATTCACTATCCCTGATTAGTCACATTTATTGAAGTTTAATGCCACTGAACCAAAAGAAATCCTAAATCAAAAACGGTTACAATTCGGAAAATCTGAAGTGTGTAACATCTATGATCTTGCTTAACTGTGTTTACCTTATTAATACATGTGTTTGGTATGTTTTGATGGATAAAGAAACAATCATTAAAATTTATTATATATAAGCTTTGTATAATTTATATTTCTAGGGGTGGAGATCAGCAAGTTTCTAGAACAGAAGAGAATGAATCATTGAAAAAGAAAAGGGAAAGGTATTATTTACACGTGAAAGGAAAGTAAGAGCGTTTATAGCAAAAGAACATTGGTTCAATATTTTTGAGAGACATAATGGTTATTGCAAGTCCTTAGTCCTTTGCAAATAATGACAACGTTAGGCATTTTGTAAATGATATCTTGGAGGAGATTAGGAGGGGAAAATCTAACTCTACCCAATTCTGAAAAATGTCACAATTAGAAAGCTCCGTATTTTTGTTATTCAAGGCCGTTTGCTCTTCCTTTAGAATAGAGAAGTCACTGGCAGCTCTTGAGAAGAAACATGGTATTAGAAAGCGATGGAGTGTAAATGGCGAAGCTTTTTCCAGTTCAAGAAAACGACTTTTGAAAAAGCAAGAAGAGAAACTTCTCAGTGGTCTACACAGACTGGCAGYAGAGAGGACATTCCTACTTGAAATGAAAAGAAAATATGCAGGTTTGAACATCTTTTCAACATCTTGCCCAATGTATGCCACTTCCAAAAATGCATTCTTATATGTGCTTATCTCTTTTTTGCGACTACTTTATCTAGATGGACAGATGATTGCCATTAAACTGTCAGGCCAGATTGACAAGGTGGTTAAAAGTATGAACAAGGGATTGGATGAGGTAAATGTGTTAAGAAGAAGTAGTGCTTCCATCAATTTGCTGACYTTTGATGACATCAAAGAGCCTACTGGTACCCTATACAGTTCCTTTGAAGATCAGGTTTCAGCTGTTCCAGAATCAAAGAAGAGGCCTCTTATAGAGTTATTCTTGCTTTGCAAACGATGCAAGGAGGAAGCAAATTTGGTAAAAGAAGAAATGCGTCGGCTTGAAGAATTTTACTCAAGGGAAATCCAAACCYTGAGTGATTTACATCTTCAGCAAGATGATAGTATAACGGGGAAGGRTTTTAGTTGTCTTCTTCAAAGACGAAKGGCTATATTATRTAATGAAATCCTCGCACTTGCAAGCCATTGGAAGGGGTGTTACACATTCCAATGTTTAGATTTAGGGAAAATATTGAAATCATCTGTAAAATATGAAGGCAGTGAACCTTGTACAGTCAGCGAGGAAGTAACAGAAGATGAGCCTTACTCATTTGATAAACCTCAAGATGATCCTTGCAATGGAGACGACGAGAATAGTAATGAATAATTAATATTTATAATGACCATATCTGCCTGGTGAGTGCGCAAGCACGAAACTCAGAGTCGCAGGGAACCACGTTCCTTTTTATCTAATCACTATACCGCTCTACACATGTGAATGAAGCACTTTTCAACGTGTTTTGCTAATAATTATTATTATTTATAATAAACAATTTTCTTTTAACAATGTCCATAATGAAGTGTCACAAAACTGAAGACGTTCCCGTAATAATACATTGCATTAAATAGTATAGTTATAATAAAGAATTAGAACGGTTCTCTTTGGATTGTCAAAAAATACTGGCTATTCTATAGTGTTTTCAGAATTAAGTATCGAAGAAGTATATAGTGTAGTTTTCATAAACCCGTAAAACAACGTGTAGTATATAAAGGGTAATACTCCTGGAATACCGTACAGGAAGACGCACAAAATAAAGAGCAATACCTTAAAGTTTATGTCACGGTTTTTTGCAAACGACTCAGTACTTTAGTCTCTAACAAAAGAAAACGTTTTCAGGGAGTGGTTTTCATAAATTTATTTATTTATTTATTTATTTATTTATTTATTTATAAGCAATATTTTACCAGGCCACCCAATTCAGCGTAGGCTGGTTTAAATGGGGGCCTGCAAACAATTTACAAGACATATTCAATGCATTACATCACATTACATAAACAGGTGAAACAATTCATAATAGAGTCGTTTTCATTTCACCGTGCACAATTAGTGACACTACTAGTTAGTATCACACTCTAAATCTAGACTATTGTTTTCTTTCGATCTTTATCAACAAGTACTAACTAAATAGTCGTCATTTAACGGTGAAATGAAAACGACTCTACAACGCAAAGACTAAACAAAGAAAGACTAGTAAGAACAATAAAAGAAATAAAGTGTGATATGCTTAAATCAATGCATTTTGTTGGAAAAAAATAAACTCTATAGGGTTCAGCTGATTGACTTTAAAATTACTGGCTGAATAAATGACTGGAAGATTGATTATTCGAATGTATGATCAAAAGGATGATACAATTATATCAAGGCGTGTCGCAAAGATAATGTCATCGTCATACCTGGAACGAAAGGGATTTTGGGTTCGGGAATGCGATTACATTTTACCTAAACTTGTCTTTGCTGTAGTGCTTCATAATATCTACCAGTATTTCTTAGCAAGCTACCCCTTTTGCCGGGTCTATGACAAGAACAGGGGGGCTAGAGAGGTGCTCTGTGGTTCATGGGACACCCCCTCCCTCCCCCATGGTATTCGGTGTGTAATTCATGTCGAAAAGATAAGTGAAAACTGTATAGTTTATAATACTGTACATATAGAAAGTAATGAAAACAATCTCAAAAAGTATAAGTTTATCAGGTGTATCAATTCTCGCATCAAACACCTTGTCGGCAAATCAGTTCCCGGCAAAAGTATGGCACAGCCCCCGATCCCCTTTCTAGCTCCCAG